TCACCTAGAAGGAAAGAGTTACAAAAACGCGGTACCTCGCCCCGAAAAGGTGCTATTCAAAAACGAATTTTTTGCCGATCCGCAGCCGCGTGTGGCGGTTACGAGAACTACAATGACACGTCTCTGGGGGACACGCTCAAGTCAACAAAACCTGTCCGCTTCCGTTGCTACACTCACCGTCAGCCCCATGGCGAACCGTGTTTTGTGTCGATCGCTCGACGCGACCTTCGACGTAGCTAATCCTTGAAAAGTCGAGAATCGCGGAGGGTGAGGCAGGAGTCGTTGAAGAGAGAACCCAACGGGAAACCAGGAGGTCCCTCAAAGTACGTCACTCGAAAGACCACGTGAGAGTTGTGAGTCACTTTGACCTTTGATTTGTTTTATTTTATTTTTAAGAACTAGCACGGGCACAAGAAATTACGGTGTTGTGTTCTTCGTTTTGTATGTGGCACAGTTTAAATCCCCCAGTGATTTGGCCAAAATCCAAACGTCGTTGTCCCGCACCCTTTAAGCTTGCAATTTCGTATATAGTATGCATCATGAAGCCAGTGGTATTGACAGCTAATCTTACTTTTTAGCACCAACCACTTTTCTCATCGCAAACACCACCATATGCACACAATTTGTGAGTACGCACCAAGACAAAGCTCAGTCGATTTTTGTTTTGTTAAAACAGTCAAGAACTGGAATGCGCTTCATGAAGTTACGGTTTGCGCCGAAAATGATGACAAGCTATTTTTCTTGTTGTCCGCTCCCTGCGACAAAGGCGTACAGGCGCTTCAGGAGCTAAAAAAGACTAAAAAAAGAGTGAGCTGTAGGCATGATGACAAAGTTATCTGCGGATACGTCACAAGCGTATTTACTTCATTCATATGTACCCTTGTCTAACCAACATGACAGAAACGTCGTACAAGGACAGTCCCTGCAGACTGTCTTTTGTATGCTGTGTTTCGAGTGTATAAAAGTGCTTAAAGTGGTCTCCACATAAGGGAGAAATTCGTGGAGGGATGTGCGTTTACACCATAGGCGCGTCCACATCCCTCGTTACAAATAAGGCCGATAAAAGACTGCGGTCCGCTCGTCACAATCCAGCGCTCTTTACACATTCGGAAGCGAGTCTTTTGTCACGCAGCTTTATTATCTCCGTCGAGTGGAACTCGCGTCGACACCTTTTCATGTGCAAGATGAACCGCGAGGTCACAGTAGCGGATATTTATAATCACTTTTGCGAGTGCCCGAAGGGAGGTATGAGCTGCAAATAAGGAAATCTTTTAGAACTTTATTTTATCGGGGTATGACCTCCCAGGTTGGGGTTCGAATTCCGGCCGTGGGCCGCCGTCGTCTGGCTTTTGGATGCACGTCAAAAGATCCCCAGGTGGTCCAAATTATTCCTTAGTCCTCCGCTGGGGCGTGCCAGATGCCCGTCGTTGCTTTGACACGTAAAATCTCCAAGTTTGGCTTAACTTTGGATATAACCTCACATAACATATTTCCCATTAGTGATGATGCTTCCGGGCTGAGATGAATATATTATAGAATATTTGCGGAAGAATATTTGTTTAGCGCTGCAATTTGGTGTTTCTCAGGTTCGGAGGAGAGCAAAACAAATAATTTGGCTCGATCGGTTTATTTGATTTGTTTTTATGGCCCGTAGAGTAAACTGTACACTGGGTTTAGGTGACAAAAATTTAACTGAAGACAGCATTTTTGCGCTCAGCTTTGTTAAAAAAAAGACTTGCAATTTCCGGGTAGGATGAAAGCAGACTTGGACGTAGTTCAACTATTCTACTCAAACTACTGTAGTTTAACTACTTTTCCAAATAACTTGGTAACTTTCAATTACAACGTTATTTGGGTAATTATTAGTTTACTTTAACTACGTTTTTCAGGTAGCTTCTACTCAAATTACTAACTACTTTCGAAATCTAGTGCTAATGTTGCTCATCACGAAATTTTGAGCGCAGAAATAAATAAGACGCCGGCAAATGAAGTGGGATTCTCGAAAAAGGGGCCCCCTCACATCCCGTTCCCACGCACTTATTACTCGGCAGCCGTAGAAACTGCATCACAGGCTCCTTGGGCCAAGGTAGATCGTGGCCGCGAGCAGCCAAAACATAACACCGGCGTGCACGAACGCAGGAAGTTAGCAAGACTTGGTCGCGTATTGGCCTAATCCGGTAATTCGCGCAGGCGCCGCGCCTCCAGCTGCAACCGTGAAAAACGGGCACACTCCGAGGGTTGTTGTGGTTTTCATGTTGTCTGCCTTCAGTGAGTTCTGACTCGATCGGTTTTGGGGTTCCACAGGAGGCGCCACTGGGATGACCTCGCAGCTGGGCACCTGTTCGCATGGTCGCCTCGTCTTCAGCGCAAACTCCCCTGCGAAGCCAGACTCCCGCGCGCGCAAACGCCGACACGGATAATCCGTTCATGGGAGCACGTTCCCGCTTCCACACCTTTCCAAAAAACGCTCCTAGGCCGCCGCCATGTTGCTGATGCTGATGCGGCTGGTGCGACTCTCGCGCCCTCTATCAGCTAGAAATTTCCTGCCACTCTCTGGGACTGTGAAGACCCGTTCAGCGCGGTTCTCTACCTGCGTTTTTGCGGTTTTGCATTCGACTTTTTCTCGCACCTCTTGAAAGTTTCCACTTAATTTTTTTTATGCGTGCTCCGTACTCTTTTTGTGTTATCTTCCATTGTGAGAAATAAGGCTGGTAAGTGCCTGCCATTCAAGCTTTTCTGCTCGACATTCACGGGAAACGAGGGAGGTGAAGGACGTTGAACGACCCTCGACGCGATTTTGCGAACATTGTTCTCCCCCCTCTCAGAGATAATCAGCGTAGAATCCTCAGTCATCTCCAAAAATAGTTGTCCGAGTTGGGGTAGGGTGCCTTCATGTCCCGCCGAACATGAAGGCACTCTAGGTTGGGGTGAGAAACGGGTCAGACCCGGTCAGTAGCGTTTGCTTCTTTGCCTTGGTGCGGTTGTAAAAAAAGGAAGCTCTCCCCAATACGTGCCCCAAAACGAAGTCATCTCGGATTCCGTCCGATCGTCAAGATGTGACTGTCGTCGACTGTGACTGTGTTATTTGAGATCGTCCTCAAATAAATTCTTTTCGGATAACGCTGCATCGTGTGGTACGTATGATATATTGTTCGAATGTTAACACTTCCTCAATTGTATGTCCGTGTCCTGGCCATCGGTAAACACGTTATTTGTGAGCGTGAAAAATGCATGCCTTTCGGCCTTCTTCTGTTGCAATTTATTTTTGTCAGCAAAGCGCTTTGTCGCTTCACATGCGGCGAATCCCGCGGCGTCGTCAAAACTGATCGTAAGAAAAAAACAAATAACTAGAACTATACATTCCAGTCGCACTCGTTCTGTCTCGCGCGTACCCAACAAAAACAGTTTACAGTTTTTTTGTTTGTTTTTTTAGTGTGGCACAATGCTTTCTCAATGGCCCTCGGGAAAATACATGTACAATGAAACACAAAATATTGCGGGAAAAAACGAGAATTTAGCAGCCAGCACCGTTTGAAACTGCGCCTACGCAGGCTGCGCCTATTGAAATCACAGTCCACTCGGTTAGGGTTAGGAGGGACGCCGGTGAGAGTCTAGCCTCAGACTCAGTGACTGGGCTCGAAAACGGTTTGTGGCCCCTGGGGTCGAGTGTTTTTTGGAAAGGTGTAACTAAAACAATATAAACTTTCATTGCATTTTTTTTTGTAAAATATTATTTTGCTTTCTTTTCTTTTTTTTCATCTGGCCTTCTGATGACACCCCGATGTACTTGGCGCCCCTCTTAAGGGTGGGGGCCCAACATCGGGTTCTTTTGAGGTGGAGGAGCTTCATTCACTGGTCTCTCGTACAGCTGTACTGTTAAGAGCCGTGTAATTTTGATTACGCCGTCTGACAAGTCCTCGATATCAGACGACTCAACTAGTAAATTCATAATTTCATCATGAGTTAGATAATGAACATGAAAAGTTGTGCTTTATCCTCAAACAGCTTGTTCACTGAGTGAGGAAAATGCAATTTGCTTATTTTCACAAAATATCGCACAAAACTAATGAAGAGAGGTCTGGAGTACAGCCAGCTGTGCATCAGCACATTTTTAAAGGTTTCTCTCGGATTAAAGATTTCAAAGGTGTGTCGACAGCGGGCCAGATATCTTGTTTAAGTCTGCGCAGCATGGATTAGAATATCAAACAAAATAGAAGTAGTGATAAAAAATTACTGAAAACCCGAGCACGGCGAAGCTCCCGCTGCATCGATTTCCCGCCATTCTTGTTTTTCTCGAAACGGCAGACAGCTTGCGCCATCTCATGGATGGAGCGGAGAGCTCAACTGTAAAGCTGGATGTACACGCGGTCTCAACCCCCATTAAAGGAGCGCGGAGCGCGAATTTTTCAAAATTACCTCCACTTGCGTACAACCGCTGTGCAAAGGTTCCCAAGAAGGAAAAAAAGAACCCCTTGAGGAAGTTCTTGTCTTCTTTTTTTTCTCTCTCTTTAAAATGCCATTTGTTCAATATCCAGGCCGCTCATCTAGGCTACGCAGCTTAAAAAACGCGTTTATCTCCGGGTGCTTCGTCATTGGTTCGTCCACGTTCCTATCGGCTAATGCCGCGATCTGATTGGCTACTGGATGATAATCAGATGGTTGGAGTTCACCAAGCCCGGCGTTTGATTTTTAAGCTCTTAGTGTCTATGCGTAGCGCAGGTTCGTCTGCTTTTTACACAGGGGTTGCGGTGATGTCACAACGACGAGCTTTGATTTCCTGTGATTGGAAGGGTAGTGGGTGAATCGGAATGCTAGCTGCTTGAGGTCCACCCACTATTCTTCCAATTGCAGCTAATCAGGGCTCGGCGTTCTGACGTAACCGCAACACTTGCCCAAGAACCAGACGTACTTACAATCCGCATATAGACATGACGCTCCCATCTTGAGACTAGCTCTCAGTGCTTGTAGGACTCCTGAGAAGTCTTTCCCTCTCTCTCTCTCTAAAGATGCTCTCTGAGCAATGCACAGGCTATTCGTCTACGATAGTAAGATAGCGCAATGCGGGTCGTTATCTTGGGCTTTCGAAGCTTCCGGACGGCCACCTGCACGCACTCGACCAGGAGAGCCGTCGCTGCCAGAGCCATGCCGATGGCCAAGAGAGCGAACAAACCGAACACGTCGTCCACGCTTAGGGCGTTGGCACTGAGCTGCTGCAAGTCGAGCATCTTCCAGGTCTTAAGAAGCACGTTGTTGAGGTGCATGTCGATCATGCCGGACTCGCAGATCCAGCGGGACCTGCGAGAAGAGTGGTATGCATATATACATATACCATATACCACGGGTGATCAACCGGGGACCTTGCCTAACCCCGCCTGGAATAATCAAAGGCCGGGAACTCTAAAGTGTTTATGTCATCATAGTGATATTTAGCGCAGACATAGATGGAACACGAGCGCTTGTTAGCGTTGGGCTGAACCTCACTTCCAGTCAATGGTCCAAGAACGCTCAGTCGCAGGCTCGAGCCTAATTGCTGATCTGGCGCTATGCCATAGGGTGATGACGTTCTATGAAGGTATAGAGAGGCAGAGGAGGTTCGCAAGTTTTGATTATTAGAGGTACTACTGACGTATCTGCATATATGTTTCATTAGCAGCCAGCGATATTCGTCCGACTTGGATATGTCGTCATGTTTTCGCGATTTTTCTGCAGAGCCGGGTTAAGCAAATGTCTCCCTTAGAGCGGAGTCTTTTCAAAGTATTTCAGTTTTATCAGTGACTGTACTTCGTTTCAAAGTAAGTCCGAATGCAGCCGACGATATAGAATCCAATGGAGCCAAATGTGACTGTAAATTTAGGGGCGTGTTTTCATGCTCTATTTTACGATTGAAAATTAAGTAGTTGAGTCGAAATAAGTGTGCTGAAGAGGTGAAGCAGTGGGCCTAAGTTTCTGGAAGTGCGTTTTTACACCCTTAAGTTTGTAAAGGCTTTTAGCGTGCACCCTATGGTCTACATAGGTATGCCGAATGAGATGCAAAATGCTATATGGTGGGATAGCTACTTCATCGCCTGCCTTTGATGAGGCAATCATGTGCGGAACAAAATGTGCAAAGATTGTAAGGGAATCAAAAATGGCTACGTACATTCGGTGCAGAGATTTCTTGACACGCTGGGGTGCGTCGTAGCTGACGTACATGGAGGTAGGGAGCGTGACACGCTTCTCCTTGCCGAAGTAGAACTGTCCCTTGGGTGGTTCATCGGGGTAGAGTAGCTGGACGCCGTAGTGGTACAGAGACTGCTCCATGAAGACGACCTTCTTGCCGTCCAACACGTCTTCGTAGGTGTCCTGTGAGAAGACACGTTTGAAGGACCACTGGCTCTGCAGCTTCTGGATGCGCCGCCACAGCTGGTTATCTTCGGGGAAGGTCGAGGTCTGCGCACAAGAGGTTGCACGAGTCATGCTCAAAACCTCCCGCTGGCGTACTGGGAGGGTGTTTGTATGCAGATCACCACGCGCCTGTGCATCATATAGCCAGAGAACTCGTCACCCACGGCGGTGTAGTAAGCTGCCCAAAAGAATGAAGATGGGTGCACATGTCCTTCCGATTGCACTGTACGGACAGTTTGACAATGCTTAGTCGCTGTTAGGATGAAAGCGTCAGGGAGTGTCTTTGGATGCCTCCAGCTCGCGCGGGTTGCCTTCAGTCGTGCATTGGCTGCACGTGTTCGCTCGAAGTTCACAAGACGCCGAAGTGCTGTTCTTATACAAAAAAAATGTAACCAATTTCTACAGAATTTCTAGATATAATTATGGCTAGAGAGCATAAATTATTAAGGGAGAATGTATCCACTTTTTTAACCGTCTACAGATTATTGGCTGCTGCTTCCCACAGGTTTTGTGTAGACTTCAGTGTACAGATAATGTGGCGACTCTGTACAGCAAACATACAGACATTCTAGGAACACTCCTGTCCCATTTCTAGCGCCAATAAGAGAGTTTCTACCGAATTGCTGTTGACAAGTGATAAACATCAGGGCCGGATCTTGTGACAATAAAATCCTGTGACTATGTAGTTCACTTCAAGCCTGTTGTAAAAGCGTTTCTTATATACTACACACAAAAACTGCTTATGACTCATATCAACGATTTTGTCATGTTTTCAGAGTGTATGGTCTATCAAGTCAGGTCTGTAGAAAATCTAGGAATGTGGCGACGCAAAGTCTAACGACTGAAGGCGACAGACGGTTGGTAGGGTTTCTGACGACTGTGCTCTGTAGACTCTTGTTGACAGGAAATCTGTAGAAACCTTGTGGAAAAATGGCGATAAGATAGGAAATGGAGAAATATGTCAAAAAATCGTTAAGATGTCTACTGACTGGCTCACATTTTTTTTAAGGGTATATCGAGATGTTTCGGTGGCACCCTCGTTCGGTTACCTTTCGTGACGTCATTACCTTGTAAACAACAAGTTCGATGGTGTTTCTAATGGGCATGGTGGAAGCCTGAAATCATAGCGCTTTCAAAACAACACTGTCAACACTGTCAAAATGTAAGTTCTTACATTCCTCTTATTTCCGTCGATGAGACATCCTTTGCTGACGTCATAGTCAGCATTCGGCCAATTGTGGTGGGCCGACTACAGCGACGCTTTCGATCGCTCACGTCGCCAATACTGAATTTTAGGCGAACGAATTTCGTCTGGGAAACGGTGTTGAAGCGACTCTGAACTTAAAACGCTACTCATTGCACGGTAGAGGAGGAAGTGTTTGTGTAGAACCCGAGGCTAAAGCTCAGGAGAGTTGCTGGTGCATACACGTCACAACAATTGCAGTAATGTCCTGCTGCTAGTACTTATAATAATGAAACCAAGGCGTCTACATCACCGTAAAGCACATGGTACACCAGATAGGGCAGTTATGCAGTACGTTCAACCAACGATGAGGTGCAGAAAACCTGTTGAGAACGTGGTCTTTTTCGCACAGACATCGAGTTAGGAAAACGTTCGTCCTCAAGGACCTTGCGTCAATCACCTCTAGGAGCCAATACACTTTTGAGGCTCCTCATTCGCTGGACTCACTGATCAGATGGCAGTGATTGCGCCACTACGTTCTTTGTAACCAATTACATGCGCAGGCAGTTTTTTAGCGAGTATTTGGGCTAAGATACTTTCCGAAAAAATAACTATACTCTGAGAGTGGATGGAAAACACAAATCCCAGGAAACAAACCTCGACCAGGACCAGATGAATGGATTGATTTAACAGTTGTATGCTTTATAACGTGTAGCAGCTTCGCCACCTAGCCTAAAAAACAAAGAAATACATAATTCCTCCCCTCTTAAAGGGACACTGAAATTAAAATAATAGTTTTATTTTGAAAAGGTTGATTCGGGACACGTATTTGTTTCCTAATTTTTTTTTCCACAAAAAAAAAAAATTGTGCGGTATTTACGCCGTTAGACGTAATTTAGCTGGAGGTTGCCTATCCTAGGCCTCTCCCAGGAACGTGTAACTATACTCTACACTGTAAAAAAAGCCCGTGAGTCTGCTTTCTCGCACAACACTCGGAGGGCCAATCACCGCAACTTACGAAGGCAGCTCAGCAAATGACAATGCCGAAACATCTGTTTAGACCAAAAAACGCAGACTGAGTTGTGACATTAACCAATGCAAGCGTGACGTTTTGCATTGCTTAATGTCACAACTCAGTCTGCGTTTTTTGGTCTAAACATATGTTTCGGCATTGTCATTCGCTGAGCTGCCTCCGTAAGTTGCGGTGATTGGCTCTCCGAGTGTTGTGCGTGAAAGTAGACGCACAAACATTTTTTAGAGTGTACCCCTCGGCTCTCATTGGTGGGAGAGATGATTGATTTATAGATTGTTCGTTGTAAAATTTTTATACATGCCGTAGTAACAAATTTATCGACAACGTTCTTACGTTCCAGAAACAAATAATTAAAAAGCGTCATTATTGTTTTCAGAAGTATCCCAATATCGCCTTTTCCGCATTGGTTTCAAGCGATAACAAACTTAGCTGCCGGCGTTTGCGAAGTGCTAAACGTGCGCAGCTGGTCGAGGTCGTCTATTTGTATGAGTGCGAGTCGTTTTGCGTTAACCGAGATGTTTAGAGGAAGATCTCCTCGTCCGACGTAGTTTGCCACAAACAATTGTCACGAGTAGGCACCATTGGGAACGCTTTGCGGGTGTTTGTTTTCGTAGCGCGACTGGCCTAAGCCTGGTGACCCAAGTCAACTATGTTGCTCAATCTGGCTTGATTTGTACGTTTGAGTGTGTTGATGCTGAACAAAGATGTTGGTTCCCGTAAAAGTTAATTGTGCAACCGTCGGGATTGCAACCACGGTTTCAACGTCGATAAGATACATATACACAGCTAAGAGTTGGCGAGCCATTTCGCTGGTGGCAATCGGGCGTTCGGCTCACATCAAGCTTGTCCAGATATGTTGACGTTATTTCGCTTCAAAAGGCAAGAAGCTCTCAACGCTTGCAGCGCACCTGGCCTACCAAAGCGAATCGTTTTAGGTCGCGTTTTAATTGTGCGTCAAGACGCTCGCTGGCCTTGCTCGCGGATGCCACGTGAAAAACAAAATAACAAGAAAAGAAAAGCTGAAACGACTGCGTATTAATTTTGTTGTTTGGAGTCCTCCCGGTCGCTTGTTGCCGCACATCGGGGACGCTGACAGATGCTTCTGTTGGACTGTGGCTCATGCGTGATAAAATGCTAAGACGCTACTTTCATGGTCGCGTCTTGCGTACGTTGATCACGTTGTTGGACGGGGGCGAAATGGCAGACGGACGAAGGCGAAAACGGAGTCCGCGTCTTTGGGGCATTGCAGACGACGCTAGACGGTGGTGATATAGTAGCAGACGCCTGTGGCTGCCGCGCATCCGTCCTGCCGCGCGTCTGCTCGCGCAGCTAGCAGGCGGTGTCGGACATGAGACTCAGCGCACCGGATATCGTGAATGGGAGACACTAGGCTTGTTAGCGTGCTTGGCCGAGCAGCCAATCCAATCCAATATTAATGGGCGGGGCCTTTGACCTGTGGGCAGGGCTACAGCGGGCCTTCATCTTCACCTAAATTGCGTCTAACGGTGCAAATATTGCGAAAGAAAAGCGTTTGTTTTAAAGGTGTCTCATTTATTTCCTTTACATTGTTTTTATTTAGATTTTTTTTTCTGCCAATGCATTTTTGTAACTATTATCATGCCGTGAGGGTGATCGCCAAGATGACTATGAGGGGTCGGGAAACGACACTAAAAACATTTCATTCACTCTGAGCCGGTGATTCAGACTAAAATGTTGCGCAACGTCTAGCAGGACATACGTTAAGAATGATGTCGAAGGCCATGCCGTCAATGATGACGGGCAAGATGTCGGGTCTGTTGACGAAGTCCTTGACGCTTTCGATGCGCGGCATTTCCGTCTTGACGGTCATGCTGGCTTGCATGTAACTCGTGAACGTGGTGGTCGTGAAGATGACGGCCACCCACCAGACCCCGATGAGCACCCTCGTGTTGTCCGGACATCGCGACGGACCTGGAAGAAGCGCCCACTTACCATCGCGTCTCTTGATGCCTTATCGCGGGCATATATTGCCAGGATTGAGAGATAATAAGTCTTATAGCTATTATAATATTGTAACCGAAATCACTGTTACGCCGAATGATGCACCTGACCTTTCAGAAAGAAAATGTACGTCTGATATCCTTTTGCGTTCTTTATTTGTAGCCCACCTATATTTGTCGAACTAGCGCCCCGTTACACTGCATGTTGCTGAATGCCAAACATTGCCGCGGTGGCGAAGGAAGACAGGAGAAAGGAACAAAGGCTAATGCGAAAATTTCTGTGGTATGTCTATATATATTTTGTTTCTACTCAATTAAAACGGGAGTTAGGAATTTCGTAAGAATGTATATTTCCGCGTGTAAAGCTTTTTGTGAAAACAAATAAAGTTAATTTTAGAATTTTTTTTATTGCTTTTCACTTTGAAATTTTATTTATGCTGCATACCTCGATGAAGATTCGCACTTAAAAGATGATCCCTTAGTCTCGGGAATTACCACGCAGAAAATAATAAACCGTTATATTTGTGTCAGTTTACGTATGTGCTTATGATCAGAAGGCGCTTGAGAAGCAGTACCGAAGAGATTTCCATCATTTACTTTCATTATCGTATTTAAAAAGAAAACAGGGACAAATCGGAAGGCTAGCAAAATGGACAATTGGGCGAGTTGGTAAGAGTTCATAATTACTTACAGCGCGACTGGGACAAGGACAGACAGAGGAGAAACACAGCGCTTGTCCTGTGTTTCTGTGTTTCTCCTCTGTCTGTCCTTGTCCCAGTCGCGCTGTAAGTAATTATGAAATCGGAAGGCGTTACATGCGAGGTAGGCATAATCACAGACAACGCTCACCCTTAGTGAGGAGCATCGCGAAGAGTAGGAATACGTAATCGACAAACTTCCTGACGGCACCGACGCGCTTGAAGTTGTTTTGGAACAGGACCATGACGACTGCGGTGGCCAACAACGCAATTCCAAGTGCCATCCACACCTGAAAGATTAAGGTAGATACAAGGCCCTACCACTCAGGCTTGTACATCACACGTTTTCAGTCTTGAAGCCCAGCTTTGCGGGCAGACTGTACGGCGAGCAGGTGTTCCAAAAGGCGTTTTTGTCGCATTGAAATTCAGGGAGCAGCACGCCAATCAAAGTGCCAACAAAAAGAACACGCAGAATACGCGCGATGACTAAACAGCCAAGCGTGTGCCGTCATTGGCTGAGGTCGGGGGAAAAAAAACATGAAAGCCGTTTACAAATCCCTGTAACGCCGAATTGGAGCGCAGCTCTTGAGGAGGAGTAGGGAAGGGTACTGAGGGGGGTCACGTCACCTGTGGGTAGTCACGTGACCCCGGGGGGTAACGTGATCTCGGGGGAGGGGGGTCACGTGACCTGGGGGGTTCGCGTGACCTCGTTGGGGGGGGGGGGGGGGTCACGTGACCTCGGGGGGGGGGGGGGGGTCACGTGACCTGGGGGGGGTCACGTGACCCCCTCCCCCCCCGGTTACGCCGACGCCGACGCCGCTCAGGCTGGAAACGGGCCCCTAAGAGCTGCGCTCTAAAAAGCACTTGGACGCATGTGGCGGGTAAACAAACGCACCAGGTGCGCAAGCGGGGGACAAACTTGCGCGCCGTGTAGTCGCTGACGTCTCAAACAAACGCAGGGCTTAGCGAACCCCGTGAATCTCATTATCGCCCCGCAGCCAATGAGATCGTAGCATTAGCCGATAAGGACGCCCAAGAACGAATCACGAAGCAGAAAGTGGGATCGTAAAACGCCCCGTCCTGCGTGACTATACGGAGAGCAAGTCGTCTGCTTCTTGACCAGGAGTTGTGGTGACGTCAGAACGACGCCGAGCTCTCATTGGCTTTGATTGAAAGGATAGCGGGCAGACCTCAATGCTAGATACCTTAAGGTCTAACCACTATTTTTGTTATCGGCCAATGAGCTCGGCGTTTTTGATATCATCGCCACCCCTGTGCAACAAGCAGACGAACTTCCTCTCCGCATAGATCGACGTTCCCGTGAAGCAGACACAAAGCTAGCGGTGGCGGAACGCGATGTTAATCTTATCATCCGCGTTCCGTCACCGCTAGCTTTGGGCCTGCTTCACGAGTGGTGATTATGGCGCGCCTTTGAATTTCCCACGAGCTTCAAGACGTTCTAAAATAGAGTTCATTTACGGGTTTTTGGTTACGCTCAGTAAGTTTCTAATCGAAACCATATGTCAATTTTTACTAATCAAAAAGTTAATTAACGAATTTTAATTTATAAGTCGACTTGTTGCAAAAATTCGTCACACAGATAATGTCTCTCTTGCCGTATAACTCACCTGCCCAAAGCCTATAAGTGCAACTTTCACGGCTTTTTTTAAGACAAATCTGTAAAGCTTTAAAAAAACTCGCACTGTATATGAAACAACGAAGACGTTAAAGAAGTACACAGGACGAGCGCTAAACTAATAACTAAATATCGATTGAAAAGAAGAAAAGAAAAACGACAACAACGAAGTAAACCACTAAATCACCGTCATAACAACACGTGTCCAAGTACGTTATGTCTTTTTTGTGCAAGTAAACAGAAGTTTGACTTAGACGTGTCCAAGTAGGTTATCTCCTTTTTGTGCAAGTAAAGAGAAGTTTGACTGTTTCCCTCTTGCTTATTTATTTCATATGCCTCTAATAATTCCACGGCTGATAAGACAGTTCGGCAAGTTTACCACAGCGTCACTCTAATCATCATCTTAGTGTGTTTTCTACATTTTTTTTTTTTGCACATCATTCTTTTTATTTTGGCTCACAAAACTTTTGACAATGTTATAAACGACCATTTCTCGTCGCTATACTCTGTTCACTCCTAAGCTGAGACCGCGGTGGGGGCTACGCTCTCGCCGGACCAATCAACAGCCTCCCTTTCATCACCTGACCCAGCTCTCCACGCCGCGAGGATGTGGGCGAGAGCGTGGTCACGCGGCGAAGGATCGACGTATTACTGGTCGAACGCGGTCGTTGCTTCCCTCGCAGTCTCAGATCAGGGGTGAATGGAGTTTTTTTTTACGTACTATCGTGGAAAAATGAAATGCGAACAGAGGAGCGCGTGGCTCGCGGTACAGGCTGCTCGCGGTACAGCCTGTACAGGCCTGGAAGTGAGCCTAGAAGCGAGGGTGCGTGGCCTACTCCGATGTGTTCACGCCCCTCCCTCTGCGCTCCTCAAGCTTCAGCAGTGCGCCTCTCAGTGCGCTGAAAGCTATCACCGCTATCTTTGCTGGCTCAGCACGTGCGGTGCAAAGAAGCTCGCCGCACTCGCCGAGCAGGCAAAGATAGCGGTGACAGCTTTCAGCGCACTAAGAGGCGCACTGCTGAAGCTTGGGGAGCGCAGAGGGAGGGGCGTGAACACATCGGAGTAGGCCACGCACCCTCGCTTCTAGGCTCACTTCCAGGCGGCGCAGCCTGTACCGCGAGCCACGCGCTCCTCTGTTCGCATTTCATCTTTCCCCGATAGTACGTTCGATCTCGAAAATACCGCAAAACCTTCACGGCGTCCGAGATTTCCACTTCACCGACCGTCCCACCGTACCATTAGCATGAGACGCTCCCTCAGCAGGAAGAGCGTCACATGCTAACTCCTCCGTGCTCTGCAAGTGGCGCCATAGATCCAGCCAAGCTAGAGTTACTGCACATGCTCCGCTTGCGGAGCAGAGTATCACAATGGTGCTCGCCACACGGGCGTGTGGCGAGCACCATTGTGAAACTCGGATTGCCACACGGGCGTGTGGCGATCAGATAAAGGGAAGATAAACACCTAAGCAATGGTGTTTATCTTCTTTTTCCCATCATTAAACTTCGTATGCATCTGCACCGTCAGTACAAGATTTTAAGCTCGACCAAATCCAGCAAATTCATAGTCGGGGCTTCGTAGAAAAGGGCGGTCTAAGGGCAGCCGCTTTAGGCTGTTTGAACCTACGCCGTAATCTTTTGGCTCAACAAAGACGTTTTGAATCGAAACCTGAAGCCGTGCTAAAGCCCTGCTCGCCACACGGGCCTGATGGCTGTGCAAGTTTTCAAGCCTAAAGAAATCACGTGGGCTATTTCTGCCCATGTTCTACAGAGCTCCTTGTCGAGGAATTCGTCAAGCAACGCAACGAGGTTTTTTGGCAACTTCTTGAGCATAAACAAAATACGGTATGCAAAAAAAAAAAAAAAAATAATAATAATAAGCTAGGCAGAGCGGTATCTGTAGAAACACCGTCACGATAGGCCGGTTTCACGAAACTGCGTCTAATACAAGCACTACTGCATGACGCTTTTAGCCCGTTGATGTATTCTTTTTTTTTTTCTATTCGCCCTATTTTGAATGTAAACCATCTTTTATACACAGTGGTTTTGGTTTTGGTGGGTCTCAGGAGCTAGAGAGATGTTTTGGTGGTGTAACCTCTCGTTTACTTTGTGTAGAAATGTGTAGAACTCGTAAATAAACTGTTATATTTCGCGACATCATATTGTCTGTTTTCTCAGCGAGTTGCGTCAAAGAATGGTAGAATTGTTTGTGCCAGATATGCCTCATAACTCCAAGTTTGTTGAAAAGCCAGCCCCTTTTTATAATCGGCTTCAAATATTGCCCACTTTACGAAAACTGGCTAGTATTTCCCGGTTTGCAAACACTAGCTGATTAATTTCCCGGCGGGTAGGCTCGTAATCGGCGTATCAAGCGTAAATAAACACCAGAGTATGACTTGTGCAAATTACGTAATAGTGACGGAGACCATCGCCGGAAACACAAAATTTGTTGCGGCTGCAGAGCCGACACGTTCCTGAAAGTTCGTTCATTCGAAAAGCGCATGCGTGTAAATCGAGCTGCCACACCTCAAAATATGGGAACCATTTCATAAGCGCAACACCTTTGTTATTTAAAAACGTAAGTGTAAATTGTAGACAAGCTGGTTCATAAATGTAATGCGAAACCCAAGAAAAGGTATGATAAAAAAAAAAACAGACTTGTATTTTGTTTGTTGAAGATTACGCGAGCTGTCAGATGATCTCGTTAAGCATGATCGCAATGAATTATCTCCTGTACGTTCGTTACTGCTCACGTCGGTGGAGATCGCTCCGCAACTGAACAAAACATCGAACGCCGATTGCCGCTTGTCCTGACGTATGTACGGATTAATTTAGTAAGAAGTTTTTAAATGAAAGCGGAACAAGCGTGCGCATGTATAATGATAGTGTGGCCTGTGGCGTACGTATGCGGAGGGCAAGTTCGTCTGCTTCTTGCGCAGGGGGTAGCGGTGACGTCAGAACGCCGAGCCCTGGTTGGCTGATCGCGCCCCCCTATCTGAGCGTCGTCTGCTCCTTTGCAACGTCGTCTGCTCGCAACGTCGTCTGCGTCCGTCTTACCTTTCCTGCGACTTTCGGAAGTCGCAGGAAACGATCTTACGCCAAAAATATGCGTAAGCCATAACTTAAGAACAAATTTGTATTCACGAAACGAAATTTTCGCAAGTTTTGCGCAGGTTACGACGAAATCCTAGGACAGCTTTGAAGCTGTCGTACGAACTTCTTACAATCAGCATGGCCGACAGCGTCGCGGTCGCGACTACCCACGGACGTTTATTTTTCTATGTGCGCTTCTCACGCGTCCCGACTTCAAGCAGCAAGAAAAAAGTAAAAAGTACTTGAAACAGACCACGACGAACAAGAACGCGCTGGATCCACAAACACCCGGGAAAAGCTCCAACGGCCATGATTCCACCGAACGCGACCAAGCGAGCACGGCAGTTAGGCCTAGCAGGCACTCCCGGACTCGGCGACCGTCTGCCCACGACCGGCTGGCGTGCTGAATGGAATATGCCCGCGCGACCCTTGTGAACCCTTCCCGTATTATACTTTGATCGCTGACCTCACTTTCGGATTAAGAGGTCAATTTCTTCCTCTTGTTATCTCCTTGTTTCCCGAGGCAACGGCGACTCTCGCCGGTGAAAAAGCGGTGAATCTCCGACAGACGCAGGAAAGGTAAAGCAGCCATCGCTTTGACTAGCAGACGTAGAGCAGACGACGTCAACTGCGCCAACCCGCCGACGCTGTTAAAGAATGGGAGGTATCGCCGCACACGAAAGGAGGGACAAAGTATTTGGGAGGGAACTTGCACGCTCACCTCCCGGTTCTTAGTAAACAAACGTCGGCGCCTCGGGACACCTCGCCAGTGAGTCCTCTGAATTCCCTCCTAGTTGTTAGACAAAAACAACGTACCGCTCGAGTTATTTCGTCTGCCCTCTGTGAAAGGCGATGTCGAGCTCGCATGTAAAGACCTGCACTTCTGAAAGTCGCACGAAAGGTGAGACAGACGCAGACGATGTTGCGAGCAGACGACGTTGCAAAGGAGCAGACGACGCTGAGGTGGGGGGTCGCGATCAGCCAATCAGGGCTCGGCGTTCTGACGTCACCGCTACTTCCTTTCTCATGCGCAGAAGACAAAAATGAGCCCACTTGCGAGGCGTATATATCCGCACGACGGGAAACGGAACAAATGGTCCCGGAACAAATGGTCCCGGAATAAATGGTACCGGAACAAATGGTCCCGGAACAAATGGTCCCGGAACAATTGGTCCCGGAACTAATGGTCCCATGTTCAAACTAGGAAAAAATGGTCCCAGATAAATATTGCCAATATGGGTTTCGCGTTTTCGAATTAATCCGATAATATCCAATAACACTTGCCGGTAAAACATTTTACGGTTTCCAATTTATACGAAAAGCTCCGAGTTTCGACGCTGCCGGTTGCACGAACTCATCCGGTTTTTATATTTTTCTGGGAAGCTCAGAAATGTTTTGCGCTGATTTTCTCGTTTGTGCTACAAGCGTCATAAAATAATATATTTTCAGTCCATATAAAAAGAAAAGTTAGGTAGCTTCTGTACGACAATAATCGAATGGGGCTCGCTTATATAAATATACTGCTCAAACACGCTGCCATATAAAAAAGATGCTCAAAAACAACTGCGAGGCATGTAACCGGGGATTCAGCAGCATACTCGGGCATAGCCATCCAACTGTATGGAAGGCGATCGACGCTCTACGGGCGGAAGCTTTATCTGTGTCCGTAAAATCTGCTCAGGAGTTTTTACGGAGAAGAAAACAAAAAAAAAAGCACTGGTCCAGATGCAGCGCCGACTGCAAACTCTCCGCCCAGTAGGACCAGGGAGCAAAGACGATGGAAGAATTCCTTCGAGGTGTCAGTCGCACTGTTAGGTTTTGAACACCAGGAGTAAGATGTTAAGGTACGTCCATATATGTGTTATGAATAAATTGTATAATTTCTGAACATCTTGTCGTAAAATATAGTTTAACCTAGCTAGTGCAGTTGCTGATCTGGTTAAAGAAACATGGAGGAACACCAAATGTGCATGGAAACCTAAATGCACCTATAAAGGAATCGAGCTCCGCTCGTTCTGTGTGCTACCATCACGCGTCATGGCGAGGTGGAAGTAATTCGAGTTTCAAGGCTTCAACAGAATGACTAAGGGTACTCGTTTTTTGTTTCAAAAGAGCCTACTGATATAAATATCCTAAAACCCCTTACATCAAACTAGTAATAACTCCTATAATATCGCATAAGGTCACTACATTAACAGTTAAGAGATAACTGTTGGACAGTATTCATTTCGAAAATATTCTGACGATTTTGAAGAAAATTAAGTTCAATACCCGATCACTTTCTTCGAAGTAACCGGACTCAAAATATAGACGAGATCCTTCATTCCACCAGGAAATCACTGATTGCATAACGGATGAAGTATATTGTATATACGATATACTTCATCCGTTATGGAATCAGTGATTATCGTTTAGAAACTAAGATGCACCATATGGTGCATCTTAGTTTCTAAACGATATTCTTACGGGACCATTTTTTCCTCTCTTGGACTTGGGACCATTAGTACCGGGACCATTTGTTCCGGGACCATTTATTCCGGGACCATTAGTTCCGGGACCATTAATTCCGGGACCATTTGTTCCTACACCTTACCTAATTCCGGGACCATTTGTTCCTACACCTTACCTAAGTTTATTACATTACGGAATGTTTTAAATGCAGTGGCAGTTTTTTTTTTTTTTTTTTTTTACAGGCTTACCTGTCGAAAGTTTTTTAACGCCGGCGTCAAGCAAAAGCTGTCGCGTACTCGGCGTCATCCTCTTCCATTTTATTTGGATCCTGCACGGATAGAGAGTGGTTTCCCCGCCCAATTGCCTGGGCCCCCAACGACGCCACGCGGCGTGGTCAACACGCGATAAAAGCATCTCGCGGCGAGGCCAACACCTCCGAGACAGCTTTCAAGTCTGCGCGTCACGTGACGTGACGTCACGTCCCGGTGGCCTGCACGGGAGCTGATTGGACGCGAGTGCCGCGTCAGCCTTCGCGTGGGACTATGATAGGAAACGAGTCCCACGGGCGAACGCTGACGCGGCACTCGCACCCAATCAGCGCCCGCTCAGGTCTACGGACGCGACGTCATGTCACGTGACGCGCAGGTATTGAAAGCAGCCTAGAAGGTGTTGTCCCAGCGCGCGAAAATCTCGGAGGTCATGTCTAATGCAGTAGAGTTCCAGGGTCACCACATAGATGACGATAGCGTGCCATTGTCTTCTCTCGTTTTGAGAGGCCTCAAGGACTCGGTAGTAAGCATAGAGATCATGCATACTAACTCTAGAGGAAAAGGTCCGCCATTTTCCCATACATTCTGGCTGCCGCAAGCGGCGGATCATGCAGGCAGACCCTCGGGGTCCCAAACACGGTTACATCATCAGAGCAGTTTCGTGAACTTCAACAATCCACGAACTTACCGGTGGAAAAATACTCGCGTTCCTTTCGAAGCTTTCTTTTTGCATAGCGCGCAGATGTACGGCCTCGCGTTAACGCTAAACTAAACCATATACCCAGCTTCGCCGGTGGGGCGCGGCTGAGGAATACGAAACTGCGCAACCACCAGATTTCCGAGATTTCGACAGAAGGGAAGTTAATGCAGCGTAATGACTTTATTGCTTTTTATAAGCGCTAAAATAGCTCAGAATTTAGTTTACAACGTTAAATTATCACTGTTTACATTGCTGAGAGTTTTCACTCTTCGCGTTTACCATGGCAACGTTGCTTTCTTTCTCTCGTGTTCTGTCGCTCTCTTTTGCGATCGTTCACTCGGGACCCCGGGTGTCGGCGCACGGGATTTGCCACTCCTCCTCACCCACCTTTACCCCCGCCTGGTAGTAAGAGAGGGAAATGTGTGAACGGGTTTTGAGTACTTTTCTCCCAGAAGCGCACTTTATTTTCAACGTGGCCGACTCCTTGGAAGTCCTTGCGGGTAGCACATCAAGTGGTAACATTAGAGACATCTTGTAGACCCTGAGATGGCAATTGTTAGCGCCGTCCTGAAAGTAGACAAACAATACAAGCGAACTCCGCGCCACCATCTGCGTGGCGCACGTTTTTATGTGAACTGTCCTATTTTTAACGTGATTTTTTTATTCTTCATAATTTGTGTTGGTTTAAAACTGTTGACATTATCTGGTTCATGGAAACCAAAAGTTGCTCGGCCTTTATTTTTCAATGTAGAGAAAATAGAAAACGTTATATTTCATAAAAATAATTTTCGTCGTTGATCAGTGAACTTCCTCTTCGTGTAGCGGGAAAGCAGCTGCTAGATTTATTGTTCAGATCGTATGGCAGCCCTCTAGGCAGGTTTTGAAGTCCCACGAGGGTAATTAAAACATTATCACCACTGTGGTTACCTTAAAACCTATGTTGGCCACACGGTCTTATCAGTGCTTTTCATACAAGGTCGCTGTCTCTCCGGTCAATGCAGCTGTGCAGGTTTGAACTTGTTAAGTCAGTTCAGCTGTGACTGAGGTGCGAGAAAAAATGCGGGGCGCAAGTTCGTCTGCTTGTTCTTGCAGAGGTTGTGGTGACGTCCGAACGCTGCGCTCTGATTGGCTCTGATTGAAGAATACTGGGTAGGCCTCAAGGCAGCTTGCTTTGAAGTTTGAGGCTTCCAACTATCCTTCAATCGGAGCCAATGAGAGCTCGGCGTTCTGACGTCACCACAACCTTTTCAAAAGAAGCAGACGAATTTGTGCTCCGCATAAGTTTGTTTCTCTCGGCCAGGGGCCGATGTAGCGTCCAAGAAACGCGATCACAAAAGATGCAGCTTCGCTAGCGACCGCGAGACGTGACCATTTAAGGATGTCGTCAAGCGGCGTCCCAATGTCCCATCATGAACGATACACGGGCGTGAATTAGCATCTGACAGCGTCTGTCCACGAGCTCTAACAGAGCGTTTGAAAGGACGCAACGCGACGTACAACGGAAACGCGACCTGAAAGTATTCGATGTTGCTCGCCAGGGCCGCTGCTCAAGAGATGAGAGCTACAGGCCTATGGCTGCCCCGCTTGTGATTTGCACAAGCGGGGGAGCAATCGTTTTTGCGATCTGAGAGTATGTTGCCAATATTTACCGAAGACCTTGTGCACACTATAAAAGAAGTGCTTTGTCGCACAGAAGCGTGTTTAAATGAATAGCGAAGTTTGAGGAAGAACGGATATGTGTCAGCCATAAGCAAGGAGCCCGACGCCCGCCCGCGTCCACTGATCATGACTACATGGAGCGTGCACGTGAACTGATGCTGTTGTATAGGAGTGACAGTGGATTACGTGACAAATCCTTCGCAAATCAAGCAAGCCTTTGCCTACGCAATACTTCTTGACAGGCTTGGGTTTCGAAAGGTTTTTGTCTCAAATAACTTCTACAGCAAGAGTCTAAATATATTTTTTTATCACTCTCGAGCAACTGCCCGGTCAATGGCCATCAGATTACCGCACTTTCGTTTCCTTCTAAGGAGCGAAGACTGCTTTCACGTGACTCAACAGTCTCAGCGCTTTTGGTGCAACCAGGATGCCCCTAACGGCACACGGGTGAGACGGCGTACCTGTTCATCGAAAGCGTATATGTATCCGAAGACGTCGGTGCTATACACTTGCCGTCTGCCGGCCATGTGGCCGGCGTCCGCGTAGAAGTAGGCCGGCAGAGGCTGCATGGCGCTCACACGGTCCGCGTTCATGGCCATGGGACCGGCAGCCACATTGCACACCTGCAGGGACAGTTCCCGTACTATATACGTGCACTTCCATCGTAAGGATCTCCATGGCCGTTCCCAAGGAACGCCACGAGAGACGCGATTGTACACCATACCGTAACCGCGGTCAATCTGCTAATTCATCATACAAAGGACACGGAATTCGCAGTAGATACCTATGATGACAGAATTATCTACGTAGACGCCTCAAGAAAAAAACGAGGGTTTCCATCGGCGTCGACGAGACCTCGCCCCCTCCCTCGGCGTCGCCATTTTGCAGAGCACAGCTGGTCACGGAGCCTTGCGCGCATGCGCGGGCGCCGTGCTTCCTCGAGTCCTATTAGTCCATTGAAAGCTTTCTTTAAGAGACCACAAGGAAAAATTGAAACGAACCCAACTAATTACGTTACGTTACGACGAGCCTTGCGTCGCTGGTTGCCATGGGAACTAACCGTCAACTTCGTCACAAGCAGACGTAAGCTTTCGCAACGCGCAACGAAAGAAGACGGGACTGTGTCAACACCTCCAAGATAACAAAGCCGTATAGTGCTAATAGAGATGTCGTCATCCGCAAAGGCCTACGCTGATCCCCGATTGGACACGACGATTGCGTCAATGTTCGGCTCAAACTTGACTCGAAGCCGAGCGCTGATAGAGCGCTCGTTTCTAATCTGTGTCCTGCGTTGGCTTTCACTGATGACGCAGAAATATCAGCACTAAGGCCTTGTCTTCTGGGCTGTGCTGCCTGCGTAAACCAGCCTTTATTTCTTGTGAAGGAACCTCCAGGACGACTCAGAGCGTTAGCCGACTTTTAGCTGAAAATCCTTGCTCCTTGAGAGCATAAAGGACATGCCTTAGCGAATCGTTGACTGCCACGCGCAGGCTTTTTTGTGTCGTTTAAAGCCGATTAGATTGTTGATAAGAACACCCAAGCACAAATCAGAAAGCAAGTAGCGCCAACACAGTTAGTCAAGCTTCGCAACCTAAACCATGAGACAAGTTAAAATGAAATACCGGACAAGACATTTGCGCTCATTGCCACGTTTATTTATTTATTTTTTTTGTATATATATAGATACCGATTTTGTGCTCAGTTATTTTATGCTGTGTGAATGATGTGGTTAATAAGAAAAGGTTGGAATGCCGAGAGATAGCGAGCTATTTTGGGGGGGATGTACAGGCTTTTACTGAAGCAGGAGGTCATGCTCGGTAAAGTTTCCTGTTAGTCATGGTTTGCAAGGCCGAACATCATGTGACTACAGGATTGACTCGAACGCAGAGTGCCTGTCGGTACCTGGCATGTTAGGACATGAAGAGCCCTCCCGCGATTCATTATTGAAACTCTCTGGCAAGTGCAGCAACGCGCGCAGCCGGAGTGCTACGACGGGTCTCTACCATCGTTTAATGTGGCACAGAAACGGCTGTGTACATTAATAAACCAAAATTGATAACTAGACAAAATGCGCTCATAAATAATTGGGGAAGTGACGATTTGTTCTTACGTTTCGAACGACAAGGCCCACCTGGCCACCCCACGACCCGTCCGGCCTCCGGCCTCCCCAGTTGCCGTCCGAGGGCACATGGATGGTGGACCTCCGAAAATAAAGAACGATCATCGCTCTTAAAGACCCGTTCACATATTTGGAACCGAGTACGACTGACCGAAACAAGACCGGTTTTTAAGCCTCTTGCGACGGCTTACGGCCGGATGCGCTCCTGCAGAGCCGGCTATGAGACGTCGCAAGAGGCTTAAAAACCGGTCTTGTCTCAGTCGGTCGTAGTCAATCGCAAGTGTGTGAACGGGCCTTAAGGCTGGTTCACACACTTGCGACTGTTTACATAAGGCTGAAAACACGTTATAAGCATCTTGTGACTGCCTCCGACCGGCTGCATTGCTGCGCAGCCGGTCCTAAGCAGTCACAAAAGGCTTAAAAGCCAATTTTGACTCAGTCCGTCGTAGTCAAACGCAAGCGTGTGTACAGGCCTTCGTTCTTGATGACACGTCACTGACAGCTCTATACTCCGTTCCACCTTCAGTCCGAGCGCAGTGGACGCCACGAGCTATCCCAGCCGATCCAGCGCCGGGAGAAAATTGCGTGACCTGCCGGTTGGGCAGAGCGCCACAGGGAGCTCAAGGTCACATGACACTCTCTCCACGCTGGATTGGCTGGGATGGCTCCTAGCATCCGCTGCGCTCGGACTGAAGGTGGAACGGAGTATAGAAACTCAAGGCGAGGTGAATCCAGAACCTGCTGTTATCGTTCTACAGACAACGAGATCGACCAAGTCGTGCAAATAAATAATATGCAGTCGAAGGCTTAACCTGTGCTTCGTGGTGTGCCACAGGGTTGCGTATTAAGGCCACTACTCTTCAACGTGTATTTTAACGATATTGTAAATAACTAAATATTTGCCCTACAGCCAAATTTATTTTGTATGAGGTGATATAAGTTTTTCTGTCAATGACATTTATGTGTTCATAGGTAAATGTATAATGATGCAATGATAACACAAAAATTATCAGTATTTAATTCCATGTGATTTGCAAGCAGAGGCCGTGCGCGCTGGAGGCTCTGAAAGAGAACGCAACCGGATCTTCACTATCCCCGTTGCGCGTCACTGCGCACGAGACTCGGAAGAATGAGTAAAAGGAAACATTTATTTTCAGTTCTTTAATACAGACATGACAGGGAACAACTACCACAATTATTTTACCGTACAGTGAGTTCAAACATTGTTTCACGCCCCTTCAAAAATTATGGTACATTTACAATTGAACACTTTATTAAAGCGTACATATATGTATGCCAATCAATTTGTTAATATTGCTTTTAAGAACACAGGAACTTTCTTGCGCGATTTACTGAATAAATTCCATGCCTCGTAGAAACGAAATGCACAACATGTCAACTTGGCCGTGGGTGATCCACCGGTTTATTCATCTCAGCTGTGTATATACAGCACCTAGAAGACAAGGCCTTTCATCCCCAACCATCATCACTAGAGGATCCCCATACCGCCGCCTAGCTCACGTCAGTACCGTCACCAGCCGGTCTCGCAGCTTCTCCCAACGAGAACGACGCTACCCGCGACGTCAAGACGGACCTTTGCTGTGTCCCTCGTTGAGCTTGAGCCAGTTTGCCGGTCGGGGTGGGTTGGGGATCCACCAATGATGACGTCACGCGTAGGTCTCGTATTCTAAATGGTGTTAACCGCCCTCAAGACCTGACCGCGTGGCAACTCCTAGTCAATTACTGTTAACGCGCGTGTCTACGCATACTGCTGATATCTCAGGAAGGTACGAATCCCAGTGTCTATTGCACACAAAGCCTTATCGAGGCTTTCAGATTATGAGGCTGCACGTAACCTTAAAGGTGCCGGTCAACTACAGTGGGTAGGAATGCTTTTCACTTTGAGCAAGCCTACTGGTCCTAGCTAGTCTGACCCAAGAGCATTAGGACTTAAAGGGGCTCTGCAAGGACTTCTTTACTGCTTTTAATTTGCACCGAACCTGAGCGTATTGAACGTAGTAACTTAATAAAACTTTTCTCGAATTTTGCTTTATTTTTAAAAGTTATAGGCAAATTAAAATTACAAAAAACAAGCAAAAAATGACCTCCTTCATGACGTCCTTGGTTGCTTGAGTGGCCGTGAGCTAGAGGAGGGGTAGTGAGCTCAGCGAGCGCTCACGGCTGCCGCACTCCGTGTCGACGGCTCGAGAGGGCGCCACTAAGTCATGTTCTGGGTAGGCTGTGCGGGCAGCCAGGGTGGCTCGCATTGCATTTGCTGCGCGATTAAACACTAATTCGGCATGACACTTCATTGGCCACAAACGACAGCCAACACTGGGTAAAGATCAATTCAGAACGGGAGCCACTTCGCGCTGCCATATCGCCAAAAGGCCAAACCGCAAGCCGCAGCTGCTTGCCGAAGGCCTTGGGAGCGCTCGGAACCGGTCGAATCCTTCAGTCCATACGACCGCAGCGCCACCGCGTACATCCGGGACCTTTCTACGCTCACCGCACTTTGGCGCCTTATCCCATTACATTTTTCTAACATGCGCCGCCCTTTCCACCGCTTGGTGGCGGGTATGTCGACTGGTCATTTCTTGTTTCCGTACTTTCTAAACTGCATTTGTTACGTTTCTGATCTAAAATAGCGAACAAAAACTACTTTTATAGATAACTGAAACGGTTCGCGCCACTTATATTTTGTATTTCGACTAAAAAGAAGCTTTTAGCGATTCTGACCAGTAGTAAGCCCAGGACCGAAGACGCCACATATCGCGCTCTTTCAACACCGCGCGTCGCCCCCGTAGGTGGAGGAGGTTTGCGCGGCGTCTGGTTTAAATACGACGCACTGATATTTAGTTACTCTCTCCGTGCCCGCTGGCTTGCCCGAACCCCAAGAGACTTGGAAACAGAAAAAGAGGTAGACACTTAGATATGACTGCAGGGTCCCTTTAATGTCACTGACACAGACGCGGTTTTATCGCTGTGTAATTTTAAGGATAAAATACGATCTTTTTTGTGTGCGTGCGTGCGTGCGTGCGTGCATGTGTGAGTGTCGCTGCAAAGAATTGACATTTGGAATATATTTTTTTCTCCGGAGTCTAGGGCGTGTTGCTTGAACGTGCTCACTTGAATCCCAGGCCTTGAGAGAGGAGTTTAACCATGTACCCGGACAGGCCTTTCAAGATTATCCTCCCATTTTCGCCAGCCTCTGGCATCGAAAGGGGAAGCAACTGGAATATTGGGGAAAAAAAGAAAAAAAAAAACGATTGTACTTCCGCGATTGCAAACTTCTTTTTCTACTTTCAGTTTCCACTTTTTGATTGTCTCTAGCTAACGCAGCTTGCACCGACGCTGCCAGAATATTGCGAATGCTGAAAATGTATTGAGCACCTGATCGGACCCTACCGAAAAATCCGGAATAACTTTTGACTATCCAGATTATGAACCGGAAATGTTTTTCTGAAAACCCGAAATCCAGATTGCAGACAAAGGAATATTTCTAAAAACCAAAATTCCAGATATAGTCCAGATAGAATCCAGATGGATTTCCGGTTCCATAATCCGGATAGCGAAAACTTATACCGGATTTTTCGGTAGGGG